ACTGACACTCCACGAGCGCCTTCGTATCGATAGGTCGGGCTTCAAAGGTCGGATAACCATCTTCGTCAAGAATATCCTTCCCCTCCCTCGTGGCCCACCGGGCGGGGAAGAAACTATCGACATACCGGCAGAGGGTACCATAAGCCTTCTCGTCTTCGGTGCTCATCTCACTCGCGGACGTATGGTAGTGCCCGGTGCCGTGCTCGTAGTGACGCGAGGTCCAATGCAAAGGAAATTTGGCCACGCGCCCTAACACCAGGCGTCCCTCGTCGTCTAGAAGAGCCTCCCCGTGATCGTCGGTCACAACCGTTTCTTCCTCATATACAGACTCTAAACCCGTTTTGGTAACCGGACGCACGATGTACCACTTGTCCTTGAAGCCCTGGACATAATCCATGTACATCCTGAACAGTCTCTTCGATTGTTTCAGGGAAACCCAACTGTGCCTACCTCCCCGGGACTGGCGCTGTAAATGGAAGACTCGGAATAAGAGAGGTATGGTCGCCCCAATCCTTAGAAAACGACACATCAGCTCGAACGCCCGGATGAAAGCAATCCAGTTTGGGTGAAGCTGCGACGGGGCCAGCTCCAGATGACCGAAGACCCCGACCTGAAAATCGCTGAAGGGGAGCTTTAATCCCAGGTCCTTGAAAGCGATCTCATACATGGGGAACCCGTACTCGGGGAACTCCGAGCAAATCCGCGCAGTAAGAGTCGGCCTGGTGACAACGAAGTTCTTCTGAAAACCGGGATGACTACCGCCCTGCTCGATGATGGTATATGCACTTCAACTTCGCCGACTATAGGCTGAAGCAATCCCTCTGGGCTCGGCGCCCACCCATTCCAGCAGAGGATCATCGATGGTATCGACCAAATTCACATTTTCCTCGGCACTTTGGTCTTCCACCTCAGTGCGCCCCGAGGAAAACGGTTCGTCCGCCATTGTTACCTACAAAGCACAGGAAACCGGTCAATTGGGGAGCAAATCCACACGCTCGCCATAACGGACGGGAAGAAGGGCGTGATAAACCGTGTCACTCCATGCACGACTAAAAAAGTTGGTGTTTCGGACAAAAAGAGTAGAGTCACCTCCCCGACTCCCAGATACCACGACAAGTCTTCCTACAGATCGCCTAAATGGGCCAACATCTCGACCACTCACGAATATGTCGACCTAGGCTATGAACATGGCGAGCGATATCATAAATCCCAAGACTAGAGCTATGAGTTTACCGGGCACTACCACGAATTAGGCGCCCTGAATCATGAAGATCCCGGGCAGCACCGCGAGTCAAATACCTAAACTATGCATTTACCGGGCGCAAACATGCATTTGCCGGGCATAAACACGGATTTGCCGAGCCAAATACTAATCTACCGGGGCTAATCCCAGGCGTACAGTCTCTAGCGTCTAAAAACAACGAAAAATATCATACATCACAGAGGAAAAGCAAAGGGGACAAGACGCTTACTTGAAATCTGGAAAGAAGTGCGACGGCGGAAAGGGGAATCAGCGACGGAGAGCACGGCGGTCCTATGAATATCTGGGAAGAACAGCAGCAGCAGAGGCAGAGGAAAGAGGAGAAGCGCGAAGAGGAAAAACATGTTCTGGGGCCCAAGGACCCTATTTATAGTGATGACGTGGCATACGAAACGTCACCCCGGGGAACCACAGACTTCCCTCCTCGACGCGTAGCTCCCCTAGGCAATGATGACCCTATCGTCAGTAGGGTGGCGGCACGGTTCCCAAGAGATGCCTCGTGTGCTCAACGAACACAGCCCGTCGAGATTCCCCTGAGCACTCCTCGAAAGGAATTATCTCACGAGCCCGACATGGTGGAAAATCCTCGAGCAAACAACGGGGAACTACATCTCTTATCCGGGCACGGGACCCCGTGGCGGAGGCGATCTAAGATCAAGTCATGGCTCCTACTCCAAGAACCACGACTTGGGGGGCTCCTGTTCTGGACTGGGCCGGGCTGGCCCAAAAGCAAGGATGAAGGCCCAATTCAAACGGCCCTGCAGGGGGTCACGCCGACCAAGAAGGTACAACCTTGTCCACGACATCCTGGACGCAATGCAGTCCAGCTCGACCTTAACTCGAGCGCTCCTCGTAGGGCAGACCATGACCATTACGCCACCACCTGGTTTCCGAAAAGACCGCGTCCCCGTCCGCCCGTACTTCTCGCAGAACACCCAGGAAGGAGACCACGTGCGGGTCCCCACTACACACGTAGAACCTGGCAGTTCCTTCATTTGGGCCAAATCTGCCCGGCCCAATGAAGGGACCTTGGCCCAGTGCTGGGGGCTATAAATACCCTCTGTTCCCAGAGGGTCAGGTATTCATTCTCTTACTCATACTCATACTTTTTGTCTGCTCGTACTCTCACTCACCTTAGCATCGGAGTGCCTTGCAGGTACCCCCATCTCGTTCAACTTCAGCTCGGAGCCAGTCGTGACGGTCTAAGTCTGATCCAGTAAGATCAAAATTGATTGATTAAAAATGAAAATTATATTCAAATAGATACTTTATTATTAGATATATTAGAAAATGTTTGGTTAAAAGAACTAGTGTCAACTTTTTAATATTTTATTATTAATATATGAGTTTTTGTTTACTAATTGTTTAAGAGGAAATATGGACCAGTACAATAATAATATTGACCTTGTTTGTTTTGTATTGGTCAAAAGTCAATCATAAGATTGTTTGCAACTCTGGTCACATTCATAGGAGGAAATAGAAATTTTGTACGTTTGTTTGAATGATTAAAATCATAATTTTGAAAATGCTATTTTTGAAAATATTATTATTAAGAATTTTACTCCCGTCTATATGTTTGGTGAATAATTTAAGTTCTTAGAAATATTTATAAAATATATTTAATTAAAATTTTAAAATAAATAATAAATAAATTAAAATATTTGAAAGTGTGAAGGTATAGATGATTAGTTCTTATTCTCATGAGAATAAAAGATTTACATCCTATAATATGAGAATAAAAAATGACAAACCATGTGTAAAATAAATTCTTGAAAATAAAAAATTCCAAGATATATTTTCTTAATTTATAATAAATATTAGAATGAAAAATATTTCAACCTATATTCTTGAAAATAAATTTACAATCTAAAAAACAAACAACCCCATATATTGCCATTGTGAAGGTGATTTGAATAATAATATTTTGAATTATTTTATTTTCTTTTAATTCGTGATCTAAAAGTAATTCTATAAATTATAATTGATTTATTCAGGGATTGACTTCCACAATATATTAAACCAAGATATTTTTTATACAAATTTAAGATTTTTTTTTATGAACCGGACATTCTTTGCATCCAATTATTTCTTTTTTATTTATTAGAAGAGATTCTTACCATCTCAACCATATGTCCTTAGTTAAATCAAGATTCGGATGATATTATTTCCAAAATTTTTTAAAAAACATTATGTAAAATAACTTTGTATTAGTTTAAGTGATACTAATGCTTATTTTATAAGCGCAAATAAAGATATTAGAAATGGATATTTAAATTATAAAATGGTATAATTAAGACCCTTATATGTTTGGATATTGTAAATTAAACGGAGTGGAATGAGTGAAATGCTGATGTATAGATTGAAACAAAATCGAACAAAATCGAATAAAGATATCATTTTATTATTTGAGTATTTCATAATAAAATAGAGATGTTTTGTAATTCTGCCCAAATCAAAAAATAAAAAATGATTAAAAGTAATGAAATAAAATAGAATGCATTTCATTAAAAGTTAATTACTTCAATGACTAATGAATATAATATATGATAATGAATCTCATCTTTAAATAAATTTGATATAATATATTCATTAATAAAAATAAAATAAAACTTTTAATTATATAATATAAATAATCTTGAATTATATGCATATTCTGTCAAAACAACTATCATGGTAATTTCTGATAGAAAGTCGAAAAATATGGCTACTTACATTAAAGTATAGGAGCTAAAAATATATATACATGCTCAGTCATAAAAAATAAAGAGAATCAATAAAAAGAAGAAAATAAAATTGATTAGTTGCAACATTGCATAGTTTATAAGAAATAAAAAATATGATTATGAAATAAATTAATAATGTACTAATTATTAAAAATAGTAAGTAAATGTGATAGCATAAGAGAAGCTGAACTTAGAAGGAAGAAGTAAGAGCCAAAAGGGTGAGCATCATGCCAAAGTATCTAAAAGATTACATCACAAGAAATTCTGTTAAGAGAGGCAAAGTCAATGAGCCAGTAAGGGTCATAAAACTCAAAACCTGTCTAGTGTTTTGGTCTTTGTTCTTTCCAAAAGTTGTATATCCAAATCATGTAGAAGAGTGCTGTAACGAAGTTAGCAATCATGGAGGCCTTTTTCACGGTCTTGTGTTCTTGGTGGAGAAGACTCTAGGGTGTCCTGTATCTGAAGGAGGATTGCAGTGTATGTATAGGCAAGGCAATATCACCAAGTGTTTGGAAGACTAACCATACACTTGTCTGTAATATTTCAAGCTACTACTCCAGTTGCACTCATACTTGTTCCTTCTTTTTAGGTAATGCCAAGTCCTGGTCTCATAGATGAGTATGTAAAGGCCATTATAAATGCAACAACTGAAACAAATGCATTCAAAACTTCAACTCTCAATCCTGTTTGTTCATTGGAGGGATTTCATCATCCTCTTGATTGGGAAGGAACCTGAGACAACTAGCAAATTACCTGCAAAGTTGGGCCATTATTTTGTTTACAATAATAAATCGGAGCTTGTTTTCCCATCCTTCACATGCGTTTCAGATGAATAAATCCAGACAAACACTGATTTTTCCGTTGAAGGTGTACGTTCAAACGGATGTGGTTTTTAAGAAAACATTTAGGAGTTAAAAGTATCTCCCATAATGAATTGGATCATCCTAGTCCCATGTCATTATTATGCACTCTACCACAAACATATTTCAAAATATACCAGACACAATTATCATTTATCACCAATAGTCCATACAAGAACAACTCCCATCTTTGAAGTGATGAAATCGAACACGATCTCTTACAATGATTTCCACATTGTAAATTCTGGATATTAATTTAGTAACCTTGTGGCAATCATTACACACTCTAAGATTCTTAAATACTCTTATCGGTGTGCCTGGTTTTGAATTCAAAAGCCCAAAAGCTATGGCCAATCTCTCACTATGCAACCTCATAGTATTCTGTTTTCCTTCATTAATCTCATTAACCAAAGCTGCCCCTGAATAGTCAGGTAAATACCCTATTGATTCTAGCTTCTCCTCAATTTCATTCATAAACTTGTATATATCTTTACTTTGTGGATGAGTGGTGTCGCCAGCTAAAAATTCATGAGCAACACCATTTATCTCTATTAAACTACAACCAGGCTCTTTACTCAGACCCTTATCATTCATTAGCTTTCTAACCAATCCTACGTCATTCCACCTACTAGCTGAAGCATAAACTTTTGACAAAAGCACATAAGCACCACCACAAACACTCCCCTCCAACTCAAAAACTTGCTTTGCCATTTCTTCACTTAGCTCAACACTTGCATGTTGCTTACAAGAAGCATCTAAAAGACTCCTCCAAATTACAGCATCCGGCTTGACAGTCATTTCTGAAACCACGTTCAAAGCTTCTTGGATGTGTCCAGCTCTAGCATAAAGATCAACAAGACATCCATAATGCATCAAACTTGGTTCAATATTGTATTCCTTAGTCATCATTTCAAAATACAATAACCCCTCATTAACTAATCCCCTATGATTACATGCACTCAACACACCAACAAAAGTGATAGAGTTTGGCACAAATTTCTCTACCTTCACCATTCGGACAAAGTAACCCAATGCTTCCTCAGCTTTCCCATTGATGGCAAAACCCAAAATGATTGAATTCCATGAATTCACATCTTGACAAGACATTCCTTCAAACACCTGCTTAGCAATTTCCAAAGATCCACATTTGCAGTACATATCAACCAAACAAGTGTTAACCAAAACATCACAACCCACATTTTTATCACACTTTTTCAAAAGATAAGCATGAACCCACATACCCAAAGAAAGAGCACCTAAACCAGCACAAGCATTAATAACACTCTGCATTGCATAACAATCAGGTTCATATACCTTCATCATCTCACAAAACATTTTCAAAACAGTATCATACTCTCCAACCTTTGCATAAGAATCAATCATCACATTCCAAGAAACCTCATTCCTCCTTTCACACATTTCCTCAAACACTTTCCGGGCCATTTCCAAACACCCACAAGAAGCATAGAAATGAATCAAACTGTTACAAATATAACTATCCAACTCAAACCCAAGTTTCAAAACATGGGCATGAACCTGTTTCCCTTCAAATAAACAAAACAAGTAAGCAGAAGCCTTAAGAACAAATGGGTAAGTGTGTTTATCAGGAAAGACTTCATTTCTTTGTTCTGTTAACATTTCTTTGTAAAGAACAATAGCATGATGTTTGTGGTTTGTGGATTTGGCGTAGGCTCGTATGAGAATGTTCCACATGAAGGAGTTTGGGTTGTTAAAGTGATGAAATAGACGAGTAGTGTAGTTGAGATTTGTGAAGGAGGAGTGGTGAAGAAGTCTTGTGTAGAGAAAAAGGGATTGTGGATGGTTAGTGGGAATGGTGCGAAGAATTTGAGAGTGGATTTGTTTTATGTGAGAATGAGAGATAGCATTGGATTGGTTTAACAAATGATTAATGTGTGTGAGATTGTTGTAGTTGTTGGTGGTTGCAAAGGGTAAAGGCATTATCTCTAAGTTTGTGAGGAAGTTCTTTTGAATTATAATTCATGTAAAGATGTGTTATATGCTCACTTTGAATTAATCTATATATTCATTTTCACATTTATTGATGATTGATGACATCAACATTTTAGTTTGAACTTTCAAGAGGATAAGGTTGAACCAATGAAAAAGTTTTAAAGGTCAACAATTTCTATTATGAAGGAATATCTTTTCATAATAAATTACTTGTTTAAATCATAAGTGATTTTAAAGAAAATGGTTAAATGTATTGATTTTAATTATAAAATTATTATTTATTAAAATGATTTTATTAATTATAATTAGTAAAGTAGTTAAATAGAGTAAAAATTAATAAATATTGATATAATAGTAGAAAAATAATAAATGTTATATTCATAGACATTTATTTTGAAGGAAAAAAAAATGCAAAGAAGATACTCTTATGAGACAGAAGGAGTATATGAGTATGTTTTTATGTTATTGGGATAGTATTTCTTGTTCACTTAGTTAGGATAAGAGATAGTATTGTCGATTTAGTAAGTGGCTCTGGAGTAAAAATTTGGGTCATTCAATGATCATCGTCATCCTTCTCATAATAGTGACCACGTAGGATCAAAATTTATATCTATATCTAACGATTCAAGGTCAAAAGGGATGTCTGAGACTTCCTTAGAGGAATAAACTTTTTCGTCTGGATCGTTAGACGCCCTTATATCAAATGTTTGCGGTGGAACAAGTCACACTGAAATCCCAATGTCCCTTCACGTCTTATCTAAAAAGGAGGGAACGCGCTAAAGACTTTATTTGGGCTCATCTGTAGAACGTAGGTTGTGAGCCTAGCAATGATTAGGTGTTGGAACATTTAAATCTTCAATGTCGGTCAGGTGCTTCGATGTATGATTGAGTATATGCAACAGTGGCAGACACTTCTTCGGCTTTGAGCACTGAGACAGCTCCGCGTGATGTTGACATTATGGTCGGTGATCCTTCTAAGTGATTGGCCCTTCTGGTGCCAGAGGAGAAGATGATATGTCTCTTTTGACGACTGTATTGTCTCATTCCATGAGTGCTTGTTTACAAGAGTACGTCTCTAGATGCCTTTTTCTGGTTTTGAGGGAAACCTTTAAAAGTTGCTCCTTCCTAGCTTCATTTAGGATCTTGAACATACATAAGGGTCTTCTAACTATGTGATGAGCACAAGTCCTAGAAGCCTTCTCTTGATCTATTCTTTAATATTTTCCATCTGAGGCGTACCTTCATAGACAACTTTCTTAATCGGGGGCTCATTTAATTTCATTCGGTCCACCAGTGGTTCGACCCTTTCACTTTGATTTAGGGTGATTTTCTAGGATGTTTCATATTGGTGAAATCCTTCACCTCTATCACTCATTTTGTTTTCTACTATATCCTTGTTGATTCTCCTTTGCTACTGTCACTTTTTCGTATCTGAAGTATTGGTACAAGCTTGACTTAAACTGGTCTGCTTACTCCTATTGTACCAGGTCAGATTCTCTTTCCTCATACGAGGTGACAATGAAGGAGGAGATGAAATCTTGGTTTCATAGACTTGGTAACGAGGAAGGGTTGGGCCCTATGATATTATTATCTCACTTTGGATTAACATAACCACTACACATAATTCCTTAGTGTGTAGCTCACTAATTTATATGGTAATTTCCTTATTACTTAGATCAATTCAAAGTTAAAATAGGTGTTCTAAGTGCATTAATTCATTAGCAACAACTTCTAAATTCATATTCTTAGTTCATTAAAAAGTTGAATAAATTGCCTAGTTCAAATAATTAGGCTAACAGTCAGAAATCCCTAATTATCTAGATCGATTAGTCCGCTCATAAGTGACAAAAATAATTAAATACAAGAACAATTTAAATAAGATAATAACATTAAAAGTACTCAACAAATCTAAAATTGACATATGATCCAACAGAGTAAAAACAAGGTTCATCTCAAAAAGACCTAATATAGAGAAACCAAAATATTCATTGATAAATAAATAAATTCCATGAGTGGAGAAGTATTCATTATCAAAATATATGGAAGAATTGCTCTCTAATGGCTCTAATATGCTCCAAAATAGCTCATTGAATGGTCCTAGCCGTCATTTTCTATCACTGATTTGGAATCCTAGAAAAAGAGGCCAAAAGATACTTTAAAAATCAAAATGTGTGAAGTCAAGCCTCTCCAACTATTAGTTGTGATGAAGACATGTTTAGAAGAAAATGATATATAGCAAAAGAATAGAAAAATCTACAAGTCAAAGCTAAAGCATCTCATTCAATTTATGAAGACTAGCTTTTGATGTTTATGATTGATCATATCTTTTGAGGTACAAGTAAGCAATTCTATCATGTTGATATTTAAGTGCTAAAAAATTCTTAGCATATTCATGTACATGCATTATCCCTTTTAAAATTGCTTGCCACTGATTTCAACCCATTTTTAAAAGTATTTCCAAATTCAAAGCAAGTGTAACCGGTTACACACACGAAACCAAACCATTGTTTTTCTGAAAATGAGAGGTGTGACCAATTACACTAATTCTGGTAACCAGTTACACACGCGATTATTTAAAAAAATTTAGTAACGCTCTAGGTGTAACCGGTTACGCCCTTTCAGGTCCGGTTACCACTGAAACAGTGGCATTTTTTCAGTAGAAAACAAATTCAAATGCTTTTAAATTTTACGCCTTCAAGCATTGTATTGCTTGATCAATTTACACCATTCTAAAATGATGTAACACTGATATAAATATTGCACATATCAAAATGAAGTTTTTACCTGTTTCATTGCAATTTAAATAAATTACTCTCTCATTTTCAAACAAGTATCTTGATATACAAACCTTCATTGAAAATTTTCTATATACTTTTTCATATCAATCAAGAAAAGTTTCAGCATCATTATAAATATTTGAGCATGTGTATATCATTGTGAATTGCTTACTTGAAAGGGAAGATCAATCATAGTGATTGGTATTTATTCATTAAGCTCAAGTCTTCTTAAATATTTCTAGATTTGTCTTTGTAATACATTGTTGTCCAGGATTGTTGAAAGCAAGAGAGTTGATTTAGAGGAGATTGTTCTCACTTTAACTTGGTCGATCATAAGGTGTTTTTGCCTTAGTGATTGGTTAGCCGCTTGTGTCTAGAAGTATAGTTTAGGCTTATACAAAGTTCTAACAATATTGAAATCTCTTACATGTTGTAAGGGAATTAGACGTACTCTCGGACTGTGAGAGGAACTAGTATAATTCCTTCGTGTTCATTATCTTTCCGCACTTTATTGCTTTCATCACATTACATAAACCAGAAAATAAAGAATCATCATTCCATAAAACCAGAAATTTTTAGTGTACCTAATTCACCCCCCCCCCCCTCCTTAGGCGCACTTTATACTTAAAATTGGCATCAGAGCAGGTTATAGGCAACATGTTCTCAGTGGCGGAGTCAAAAAAATTATAAAGCATGGGCAAAAAATTAAAGATCGCAAATTTATATTGTATATAATATATAAATAGTTATCAATCAAAATAAAAGAGACTCGTCATTTTGTCAATAAAAATATAGTTACAAAATGACGAGCAACCAAAAATCTCCTCATCTCTGAACAAAAGATAAAATAGTTTCAAAATTGTAGTTTCAAAATTTAAAAGAATAATAATCAAATAAAACAAATGTGAATAAACAATGCTCTTCAAACAAATAAAATAAAATTTAAAAGTCTAATAAATAAATTAGTATTTATTATTATACATGGTTGATAAAACAACTTAAACTCTAATTAATAAATAAATTAGTACATAGTTAATCAAACAACCTAAATTTTAATCAATAAATTAGAATCAAGCATGAAATTAAACAAGTATAATATATAGACTTATTTCTATAAGTTTCATTTGAAAAATAGAAAGTAGCATAACACTAATTGATTTGTAATCGTAAATATGTCAATTTAATTTTGTACTAGTTTGATGGCTTAAATTAAACTTTTTGCATTAAACATTTATCAACTTTCCAGCGAAATAAAAGTACAAAAAGAGAAAAATTATATACATGTCTATCTAATTCTTTACCAGCATATTAGTAATCTCTAAATCCTTATTTCTTGTTGTGACAAACATATCAAATAGATTAACAAACCAAGTCAAACACATGTAGTATATTTATATTATATAGAAAGAGAAACACACACATCTGCTATTTAATAATAAAGTTAAAGTTTTCATTACCTGCTGTAGAAATGGTATGAAACTGTAAGGGAAGTTGACGACAGATTGAACATAGAAGAAAAGAGAACAGCGGCGACTGCTATTCAATAATCTTTTTCCTCTTTAGGTTTTTCCAATTCTAAGTTCCACTATTTTTTTTCTTTTAATTTTATTTATTTTTTATAAAAAAACATGAATACTAAAAAAAAAATTGAGCCGGAACGAGCCTGGGCATTTGCCCAAGCTAGCCGTATGATAGAACCGCCCATGCATGTTCCTAAAGAACCATAATGGCTTCTACAAATGCAAATCTAGTTTTTCAAAGATGGTGGTAGCAATAACAAGCATCCATTGTTTTGCGGTGAATATTTCAATTTTTGGAAAATAAGCATGAAGGCGCATTTAGAATATCAAGGAAAAGAAGTTTGGAAAGCAGTTGTAGATGATCCTTTCATTCCTACCAGTGTTGTTAATGGTGTTGGCACCCTCAAACTCGAAAGTTCATGGAATGAAGATGATGAGAAAAAGTCACCTACGATAAGAAAGCAATAAATCTTCTTCAAGGTGCACTTAGCATGAATGAATTATTTTGTATTTCAACATGCACAAAAACAAGGGTATATTATTGGAAACTCATGAAGGAACCACTGAATTTAAGAGATCTAGATTGAACACTTTGAGTCAAGAATATGAATTATTCGGAATGCAGCTCGGAGAATCAATCCTCGACTTGCAGAAAAGATTTGTACATTTGACAAATCATTTGAAAGCAATT